AAAATTTTTGAATAGAAACATTTGATACACAATTCTTTCTCTTCTTGCATGAACGTAAATGTAAATCGCAATTATTATGTTTGTTCATTAATAAAATATTTTTACCACAGTGACATACTTCAGACATACTTAATAAATATAATCGACTGTTATTATGAAAAAAAATTTTTAGTTATGTACTATTTACTATTTAGTTTTCACTGCTATGATTTTAGACTATACTATGTTTACAACAAAAATTTAGTAGGTAAAATACTACACTCTACGTCGTCTACAAGACTACGACGGTCGATAATGACAACAATAGTACAATACAATCATTATCACCGTTCATTGGTAACGAACAGCTGAAACTTGAATATTTTCGAGTTTATGATTCTAAAAATAGATTATATCGCAATAATATAATATTCTCAAAATGCCTATGCCGGAATGAATATGCCGATGCCCTCATAGTCACTAGCATAATACTATAATTTCTTATTTTAATTTATTGTTTATTTGTGGAATGTACACTGTAGTATAATGTGTAATTAATAATATGTAGGTATACTATTAGATAGCTTCTCTTAGCATAATAATTATAACTATTGAAGTTATTATTCAAATTAATTAATTCAGATGAAGTAGTCAGGTAGTTTTGTATAATAATATTTCTTACTAAATCCAGTACCCACCAACCCAGCACCCACCGCTTAAAAATGATCGGGCATCTGTCTTCAAAATCACGGTCAACACTTCACTGATCACACTCCTTTGATTCAGGTTTATAGTCTTTATCAAGATCTGAATCATCTAAATCTAGCATGTCTGATGGTCATAATATTAATTAAAATAATTTCACTTAATTTATTACCCACGGTTAAAATGTTAAAATATGTATTACTTTACCTGAATCATCTGATTATATTTGTTTTTTTTGCTCGATAAAATGACTTGATTTATTATTTGTGGCTGTTAATTAAATAAAATATTTAAGTAAATATCATATTTTTTATTACTTATTATAATATATTATTATTATCATTAATTGAAATATTTACTTGATGAAGAACGCTTTGATGAACTGTAATCTTTGATTTATTGTAACAATAAATGACAATTGTCAAAACTTAAATAATCAAACTAAAACAAATGAAATGGATAGTAAAAAAACCCTATTCCAAACCAGGTACTTTTTCTGGATCTTATCTGAATGCATAGACGCATTTTTAAAAAATTATCAAAGAGTGGTTTCTATTAATACTTGGACTGAACAACAAAAATTGCAATATTTACCTGCATTTTTAGAGGGCCTAGCACTAACTTTTTTTGAAAACATTGAAAATCAAAATTTTAATTAATGGGCTGATTTAGAAAAGGAACTTTTAACTGAATTCAAACCCATAGCTCATAAAGATATGCTTCGATTATTACTCGAAAAAAGAAAGCAATTAGATGATGAACTATCTATTGCATATATCAATGAAATTGAATCACTTTATAGTTGTATAGACTATGGAATGGCGCAATAAAAAATAACTAGATAATATGAAATGAAGAGTCTTAAGCCAAATATTGCTAGACACATTGGGATATTAGATAACTCATCTCTAAAATTATTAAAAGACCACAAACTCTTAAACCTTCCACAAAATGGACATTGGCGTACAAAAGTATTGAACACTTTGTGACAGCGGGAATTAGGACTTGAACATATTTTTTATTATTACTTAAATCTCTTACAGACAATAAATAAAAAGACCCGTATTTTTTAATAATTATGAAAAATTAAAATTTACTGAGTTATTAGACTTAGTAAGCGTGGCCTACGCGTGACGTCAATATCCAAAACAGCTTTGCTTCTTAGTGGTCGCGCTTATGAGAATCTTGTTTGCAGTCGCGCCTTGGCATTTACACCGACGTTTAATTTCTTTATTTAAAGATTTTAATTGTTATTTTATATATATATATTTATATATTATAGATTATAATTATAATTTTTATTTTAAGTTTTGATTCATATTATTATGCAAAGCACATGCCAAGGAATTTACATGGACATAGTTAATCGAGAAAATGTATAAATATTGTGGTCATATTAAATAATAAATATATTAATATAGTTTAAAATAATATACCTACAATTTTATGAAATATGTAGTGTAGAATATGAGTTTCTTTTTTTTTTTTTGTATTGAGCTTAAGTTTCGGCGACTAGGGCCATTAGTTGTTGTAGGGGTAATGAACTGTGGTAGGGGTAAGATCGGTAGGATAAGTTGTTTTTTTTTTATGAAAAAATGTTTTAATGTTAAGATCGATAGTAAACATATGTATGTGTAGCAAGATTTTTAACTACTACGAACCCAGGTGGTCACCCATCCGGGAACTAGTAACTGTGGCAGTTGCTTACTCTCAGTCGTATTCCGCGACTGGTAGCAGCCAATGCGCCACTCCAAGTGACATGAGTTTTATTAGGCTTATCGAATACTTATTTTATTCATTACATAAACACAGTGTTTACATAATTTGCGAAATTCTAGAAATAGATTTCAGAAACATTTTATATTGAATTTTTTATCCAAATAATATGGGATTTCGGTAATGTACTCGACGACGACGACTTCGCACGATTATAAAAATAATTTTCAGATAATACCAACTTGGATTATTATTGGTGGCAATAGTGTACAGACGTCGTCCTCCCTCGTTTCATATCGGGAATCCCGTCGCTGTTCTTTGTCATCGTGACACTGTCGCGTTTTTATTTTCGAATATACGGTGACCCGTTATCGCATGCTGTTCATTTAAAATATGATCTTGATCAGTGATTCCCAACCTGGGGAGCGCGCCCCCCTTGGGAGGCGTATACACATCGCTGGGGAGGCGCAAGCAATTATCACAAAGTAAAATTTTTATTTATCAAATTTTATTATATTTAAAAATTCCACTATAATACTATATTATTTACAATTATTTATATTTTATAATTATTATCATCAATAAAAAAGTAGTATTTCCGAATATTATATAGTTTATTTGTAAAATGTAAAGTAAACAAAAAAATTATAATTTTTTTAATTTATAGGTGGGGGGGGGCGTGAGATTTTTGAAAATCTACAAAGGGGGCGTAGAATAAATAAGGTTGGGAACCACTGATCTTGATAAATTCAATAATTTAAATGTAAGATATATAGGTATAGGGATATTTATAATTTATAAATTATACTACCAATGTTAGAACGATACAATGAAAAGAAACGAAAAAGAAAACACTGAGTTTTAAAGTTTAACTATATTATAACAAAACAAAGGTGCGGAAGAAGCTGCACGACGCCACGACACGACGGAGCACGACAGGAGAGGGGGCTTATCGAACGGTGTGTCGACCGATGCAATGCCGGAATTACTCTGACTATTGCACCATTGACCGAGTCACAAACCGTTCGACAAATGTGGTCTGGGAGGCCGCCTTTCCTATTTGCGCAAGTCTGCCCGGGTGGGTCTTACTACAAAGTCGGAAAGACGGAGAATGGTGTTGATGGTCGTGTCGTGACTCGTGGGGCCTTTTATACCCGGTCTATCGGCAATTACATCGGGTCGGTCCCGTGTTCTGTGACAGAAACACGAGAAGATACCCGGTGAATCAGTGATTACACCAAGTCGGTCTCGTGTTCTGTGACGAAAAGCACGAAAAACCCAATCGTTAACTGCCGATAGACGTACAATTTTCGGGATCAGTGCAAATGTCCATAATCCTCCACGCATATTACCCAAATTATAATTCAGATAATCATGCGTGGAAAATACAAACACCTGCACTTATCGCGCACAGCGCATACAATAATAAGATAACAAATTTGTCACGCAACGAAAACAATAATATAAGAATATAAAATAAATATAAGAAAATAATAAGAGTATACGTAAACAACCAATATAAATAGATAGTTAAATTTGTACCTATATGTATAAATATAAATTTACTATTTGTAAAATACCTAATTACTGTAATTAGTAATTAACATTAACTTTAAAATAAATATTTAAAAGGTTAATGTTATCTAAATAAATGTATCCAGATGTATTAATTATTTATCTTAAAATACTGCTCTGATAACATACTTCCCATTTATCTGGATAAGATAAAAGATAAAAAAATAACTGTCTAGATAATTTATCAAGATAAAACACAACACAGCCACCCACCTCACCACACTAGGCTATTTATATATGATTTATTATAAAATACTATTATTAAATACTAAGTAATTTATTTAACTATAACTAATGCAGTAAATTTAATTAGTTTTTTATCAAAAACATTGTACTTAAAAATGTTATTGTGTGTATAAAATATAACAATATCCGTTTATAGTAGTAAGTACTAGAGCTCTGTACGGTCCGGTCTAGACCGGTCCGGATCGGACCGTGGTCCAGTCTTTTCGGTCTTTGTGAATTGTAATTTAATGTGGTTCGGTCCGGCTCGATCCCTTGGTCTAAAAATAAAAATTGGTCTGGTTCGGTCCGTCTTCAATCGAATTCGGTCTCGTTCGGTTTGATCTCGTGATCTTAATTTTATATAATTTCTAAATTTATATGACGTGATAAAATAAATAACTTCATGTCTTCATAATATCATATTATTTTTATTTTTATTATAACGTTTTGGGACACAAAAGACAAAAATAGCTCGTCACGTATTTATAATTTAGTCTTGTTGTTGACATAATATTTACCCATTATACTCGTAGATCCACAAATATAACGCGAGGATCCGAAATAATGAAATTACCCGCATTGTGACAGTATTATATTATTTAAAAATATATACATTATGATTAGCGATTAAAATAATGTTTTATATAATACTTTGATTATTTTATTATTATTGGGCTGTATATAAACAATTAAATTATCTTATCAATCATGTGTTATCACTAATTGGTGGTCCAACAAATAACGAATACTGCTGTAGGTAGTTTGCTAGTTTGCTACGTTTTCACTTCTTTCAGCTTTGAATTAATTTGTTGTTTGTGAATAAATTCGTTATTATTATTTTAATAAAATGCCGACTCTTTGTGCCGTTTTCGGTTGTGGAAACAAAACCTTGGACAAATCGTTGTCATTTTACCGGTTTCCAAAGGTTAAAGTGAATGCTGCCTCAGATTTAAAAACACAATTATTAAAACAGCGAACAGCGTGGCTTAACGCATTACACAGAACTGATGTTCTTGATAGTCAGTTGAAGAACATGAGGATTTGTTCAGTTCATTTTAAATCTGGTAAATATTTTATTGTAAATAAACAATAGTTACTTAGAGACTGCTTTGGTAGGTACTTGTTTTTGACTAATATGCTACCTATCCATCTACAGACTACAATTAATAATCATACTTGTATAACTGAGACTGACTTTATATAAAAGGGACCATAAGATCTATTTAATCTGTAGACTATCACATTAGTGATTATGTGGACAAACATAAGAATAAATTAATTATAACTATAATCTATAAGTACCTATAGCTGCTGTATTAGTTAAATTTTTTTATAAAATTACTACACTATAAAATATAAGGTTGATAGCATATTATTAAACAAGTATTCATCAAGTATAATATAAATTATAATTTTTATTTAAATTATTTTATTTTAAGGTAAACCAGCCAATTATAATGATGATAAAAATCCAGATTGGATACCAATAATTTTTTCTTATTTATTTTCTAAATTTTTAATTTTTTTTTTTTTTTCATATTAGGTAAAGCGACTACTCCTGCAATTAAAAGGTACAATCGTGCAAGTAGAAGAATGAAATTAAAACCTACCCAATTGTTTCCAAATACTACGCAATTAAATGTGGTTGATTCTTCTGAACACACTATGAGCATTGATGTACCAAATGATATATCGAATGATGCTACTGAAGAAAGTGGAACAGCCTGTAATACTGACCTTAAGCTAAATGTTATCAACGAGTTGGAGAATTTACGAGATAAGTGTTTTGAATTACAAAATCAAGTAGATTATTTTAACTTAAGTGAAAAAACATTTATTGGGCGGGAAAAAATGTTAACTTATTACACAGGACTGGAATCAATGGCTGTTTTTAATTTAGTATTGGATCACATTAAACATGGACTAACTGCTAATAATCAGAGATTAAATGAATTTCAAAAACTTTTATTGTGTCTAATGAAATTAAGATTAAATATTCCATTTACTGATTTAGGATATAGATTTAATGTAACATGTTCAACAGCATCAATTATTTTCAGGAAAGTGATCATATTGTTAGAACACATGTTTAAAAATCTAATATATTGGCCAGAGAGGGAAGAACTACGCAGTACAATGCCAAGATCATTTTTCAATATATTTGGAAATTCAGTTGCTGTTATTATTGATTGTTTTGAGATTGCTATAGAAAAACCATCAAATTTAAAAGCAAGGGCACAAACATGGTCATCATACAAAAATAAAAATACTGTAAAATATCTTATAGCTATAACTCCCCAGGGAAGTATTTCATATATATCAGATGGTTGGGGTGGTAGAGTTAGTGATAAACATATAACTGAAAATTGTAACTTTTTAAATAATTTAATTCCAGGAGATGTTGTTTTGGCTGACAGAGGATTTACTATTAATGAAAGTGTTGGTTTTCACTGTGCAACATTAAAGACTCCAGCTTTTACAAAAGGTTTACCCCAGTTGCATCCATGTTCTGTTGAAGAAACCAGAAAAATTGCATCTGTTAGAATTCATGTTGAGCGAGTAATTGGTCTTACTAGATCAAAATTTAAAATCTTAAATGGTCCAGTACAAATAACTACTCTTAAACATCAAGATGATGAGACATGTCTACTAGATTCCATTGTAACGGTTTGCTGTGCATTAGTAAATATGTGTAGTTCAGTTATACCTTTAAGTTAAAATTATTATAATTTTATTTAAAAAAAATATATATGTACATTCAAAACCTATTTAAATAAACAAGTACACTTTAATAAAGTTATTTGCAAAATTCGCATTTCCATTTCTTTGATGTTGGTTTGCGTTTAATTCCCAAACATACATAATGGTACCAAAGATTAGGGCAATTTTCCTGTGTACACATAACTGATTTACCTCCTTTGTCTTCCTTACAAGTACAATATTTATAAGGTTCTATAGCAGTATCAGTGTTTTGCATTATTTTCATATTATTTTTTACTGACAAACTTTCAGTATTAGTGAAATACCGCCCTAGAAGTTCTGGTAAGATGGCTTCATAAAAAAACCATTTTGATTTAGCCACTATTTCATTACATATTTCATAGTCAATTTGAATACGTTCTATATAACAATCTTCATATGATGACCATACTAAAAAATCAACGTAAATGACACCACATATCAACAACTGAGTTTGTACCTGATAATTATATTGATGATTTTTATTTAACTTTCCACTAGTTAAATAGGTCATACTTCTTATATTTTTGTCTTTGGTTAAACTATAAGGACATTTTATTTCTACACAGCCTTTCCCACAACAATCACAATTAATTATTCCATCTGGACTGGCACCAAGATATGGAAAATTTGGATTAATTATTAGTCCAGAGATAGTAAATGAAAAATTTATGTGATCGTTTTTTAATTTATCTATGTATGCATTTCTACCATCAATTTCATGAATTTTACCCCAATTGGTAGCAGCGCTATTAAACTGTTTTGTTGATGGATAGCATATTGTTTTTAAAAGACTAATGTTTGAATCATATGACTTAACAGTACATATGTCCTTAGCTCTAGAAGCTGTAATACGGCCACTTCTATACATAAACCAATCTTTAGATTCTGATTGTAGCTTTGTTGATTTCTCTATATCAGAACAATCATTTTCATTTAAAGAAAAATCTAATTTTGAACCTATATCTATTAATTCCTCTCTACTTAATGTGGCATACTCATCTTTAAAAATATTTGTTAAGCTTTTTGGAAAATTATTTTTTACAAATTTTAAATTAAATGGTGTTACAACTTTCAAGATACTAGCTTGATTATTAATGGTTTGTAATTTTCCTAAGAAATTTTTAAATGTATTTGAATCATTCAGTGTTATAGGTAACTTTTGTATGTAACTAGATTTTGGTTTCAATTTGGATTGTGTGGAAGCCATGTTCTTTGGATGATTAAAGTGTATTTCACTTATTTTACTAGGGATAGATTTGTCAAGAGATGGTGCTGCCCAATATGCATAGACATCTGTTACTGATTTTGTACTTTTTATATTAAATGCATGCTGTAAATAAAAAAGGACTGCTCCTACGTGTGAACAACATTCACCTAATCCAGCCATGCATAAGCAATGGGCAGTTTCAACCTTGCCATTATTCTTAACTATAACCCATGGCAGCAATTTAGTGTCATTTAACCTTTGAGAATGTGCTACCTAAATGAAAATAACAATAATATAGAAACAATAGGCTTATAATGAATAATGATTGTAATCTATCAGGGGCGCCGATGTATTTTGAAAAACACATAATAAGACAATTTTATTTTTAGTCAATACACTCAAAAAATAAAATATTCTTAAATAATTAGGTATAATTGTTTAAAAAGTATGTGTTTGCCTTAAATTATATTGTATCCACCCAACCACCCACTTACCTATGAAACGTGTCATAGGTAAAATCAACTTTCGGCGCCTCTGTAATCTATTATCTGTCAAATGTTGTAAAGAAGTAGTGTGCCAACTGCCAAGTAGTTTTAAAACAAATAGTGATAACTAATTAACTTAGAATCTGCAGTTAAAGTTTAGTTACCAGTAAGTATGTAAAGAAAAACAGAAACCTTTATATACTTTTTAAATTAATTTTTACAACATAGAAATATATTTTTATACTTGACTTACTTCAGCAACTACAAGAACATAGCTATCTACCACAGTCCATTTGACATTTGAAACCCAACCACTAACAAAAAAATTATATGCATCTAGACTTTTGTACGCTTTAAATTCTTCCAGTGTGTAAGCACTTTTAGTCAATACTAGGTAGTTACAAATATCAGGGTAAGTAATTGAAGGCACTAAGTTTAAATCTGTTGTCCAAAGTACACAATTGTCTTTCAACAACAAGTATGGATCTTGAGAATTTAACAATAGTATTTTGTCTAAATATCGTTTCTGAACGTCCCCAGTTAAACCACGAGCATGGTTACTTAATTTAATAGACATTATTATAATGTTATAACCAAAAACCACAATTTTAATTAAAACTTAACTAACAAAATTATGACTAAATCAAAAAAAGTTAATTAGAAACCATATACAAATGGACCACCAATTAGTGATAAGAACGTTATCATATCATAATATAACCTAAAAGAATGTGATCTATACGTCAAGTCATCGTGAGTGTCAGTTGTCAGAAAAAGAACATTCTTGTAAATCGTTGATAATCACCTTTTGTAAGTAATTATTTTTAATTAAATGTCCACAATGATAAGTATTAGACCTCTACCTACTACTACTACCTACTTACCTAATGTCCTAGTACCTATTACCAGTACTACCTACAATTATTTTACAAGGCTTATTTTATTTTGGAGACTAGTATAAGACGTTGATCGTTGATCGTTATTAATTAAAATATGAACTTAAAAACGATTACCTATATGGCTATATAATATTATTAGTATTATTACACAGTCGATTTCGACGATTGCCGATAAGTACCTAATATAGATTAATTGATTTTACGTATAACACTCATTATTTCGGAAAGTATCGAATTAAAAAAAAAACATTTTTATATTTTTTAATACCGGCGATACTGGTGCAAATTTTTTTCTGGTAGGGCATTTATGTTTGGTTACTCGATCACTCAATAATTTGTTTATATAAATACCCATACATTTATTGAATGTTTACATTTTAGTTACTTAATAGTTAAGCATAGTTTAAAACTATAGCAAAAATCATTAATATTGATTATTTTTAATTACACTAAACTAATTTAATAAGTACCTACTTATTAAGTATACATCATCTCATAATGTATTGATAATATTATTTTTAAACGTATCCATTTATTATAAGGACAATTTTTAAAGAAATAAGTATTTTTAATTTTACTATTTTAGAATAATGGATGATTCGCAAAATATTCGTGATCTTTTAGATTCGAGTTTTATAAGTTCCATAAGTTCCCTTGAAACGTCTAGTCAACTTAGTATAACGTCCACCTTGAATAATGAATCTACTAATACTGTATTTACTTCGGCTTCAAATTTTCCAGTCCAAATTAATCCAGTTTCTATGACATCCACAACAAAAATAGTATCTAAAAAATCTATTAAACGAAAATTAATGAGTGATACTGAAGAATACACTTTAGTACCCCAAGAAGGAAAAAGTGAAGTTTGGAAAAAGTTTAGGAAAGTTCTGAATGTCGTAGAAAATATAGATGATCCTGAATCCCCAGAACAGATTTCTACAGGATTTATTGCTTGTATTAATTGTAAGGATCTATACGGACAAAACTCATCTACTGCTACACTTTCCAGACATAGATGTAATTTAGGAGTAGGTTCAAAAGAAAAAATTGATGCATATTTTGAAATCACGAATAAGAAAAAAAAAGATATAACAAAAAAAATTGAGGATGAAGCTATTGAAAAATGTGTCAAATATTGTTCTATGGATATAAAACCTATGTATTCTATTGAGGGTGAAGGATTTAAACAGTTTGGACAGTTTTTATTGGATGTGGGTGCCAAGTATGGTAAAATTGACATTGCCGATATTTTGCCGCACCCAACAACCGTTTCACGACACATTGAAACAACAACAAAAGAAATAAGAAATAATATTTTTAAAGATTTATTTTTTATTATCGAAAAAAAATATTGTGCATCGACTTGTGATTTGTGGACTGATAACTTTCGTAGGAAGAATTATATGTCCATAAATCTTCATTATATCGATGATAATTGGAAATTGAATAATCGTTTACTTCATACAGGTCAATTTCCAATGAACGAATCGAAAACTGGTGAAAATATAAGACGTTTTTTTGTATAATTTTTTTTTTCAAATTTCTGATGCAGCAAATAAGCCCTCTAATGATCTAATGTCCAATATAACTTTTGTAACAGATCAAGGTAGTAATATGTAAAGCGAATTAAGAAATACCAATCGTCTAAATTGCAGCGCTCATTTACTCAACACAGTACTACGGAATTTGTTTGACATGAAATATTTGGAACAAGAAGAAAACGGAAATAAGCCACTTGAACCTGTTATAACGCTACTTACAGAATGTAAAAAATTGGTAAGATTCATGAAAAGCACCGGTAAAAATGGCGAACTGTGTAAAGGTCTCGTACAAGAGGTAGAGACAAGGTGGAATACTAGGTTCTTAATGTTGCAGTCTGTTCAAAATGCTCTTCCGCAAATAACACAGATACATGGAGAAAATTTCAATCGAATTCAAAATATAGATACAGAATTACTTACTAAAATAACTCAGTTTTTAGAACCATTTAAGAAGGCATCAGATGAACTTGAGGGCGATAAACGCCCTACTATTCAGAAAGTTGTATTATACCAACCACTACTAAAAAAGCATTTACAAACATATTCCAATCTACAAGAAAACATATATAGTAATGCTGAAGAACTTACTATTAATTACATTTTACAAAAGTTAGGAAAAAGAGGATTAAAATTTATGGACACAAAATTCAAACTAGCACAAGAACATGAAATAGCCGTATTTTTATTCCCAAAATTCAAGTCTTTAAAAATGTTTTCTGAAACTGATAAAGCTCGAATTATTGGAAATATTGAGTTGAAACTTATGCGAATTGATTTGGAAGAAGATAATAGACACACTAATCTTCAAGAGGTGAACATTACAGCAAGAAATCTTAATCCTTCAGGAAACTCCACTTTTTCTGAATGGTAAGATGACGAGAATGATACAGACTAATCAAGAAATTATCCTAGATACAAAAAAGAGGTTGAAGATTATAAAAACAAATACTTTGAAGTTCAAGATGATAACATTTTGGAATTTTGGAATAATCAAAAACACATTTTTCCACTTTTGTCTATTTTGGCGAAGCAAATTCTGGCCATTCCGGCAAGCAGTGCAAGCAGTGAACGGTCATTTAGCGTTGCCGGAAGGGTAATAGAAGAGCGCAGAAATTGTCTTGGTGGTAATACGGTAGATGGCATTCTCTTTTTGAACAACCATTTCAACTCCCAAAAATGAAAATCATTACTTTTATTTTAAGATTATTATATTATGTTTTAATTTTTAAATTTTGTGATAATAAGGTATAATCACTTAATAATAAAGATATAAATGTTATTTTTCTTTCAAATATTTTTCTCACTTTTTTTAATATTAGTAGTTAACTAAACATTAAATAGTTAATAAATACTAATTTTAACATTTATTTTTTGTTTGAGTTTACTTATTTTTTTTCTACGTTACCCTAACTCGTACCCAACTAAGTATTAGTTAAGTAGGTATAGTAATTCGTAGATACCTATTACCTAGTAGCTAGATCGTTTAAACTAGTCACTACTTGCTGCACGATGATTATCCACACGGCAGACTCTACATAACATACTAATCAGTACAAATTATTTAATCGTCTAATAAATTCTATACGGTATAATAATTATCTCAAGTGCTTTTAAATTATACTTAAATGATAGGTAGGTCGTACGTGTTATAAAATTAGTAATGAATAATAGTCAATGGCGCAACTGGAGAGGGGGACCCCGAGTTTTAATTTAATTTTATTGGTTCGGTTCAGTCCGGTCTGGATTTTTTTTTATTTTATCGGTCCGGTCCGGTATTGGTCTTTGTTAAAATGTATCGGTCTAGTCCGGTTTAGAAAAAAACGGACCGTGCAAAGCTCTAGTAAGTACTAACGAATGATATTTTTAAATTACAACAAAATGACTATAATCGTTATTTCTTGCTTATATATCTATTTTTTTATCAGTCGCAAGCAATTAAAAATGGGTATCAACAGCAGATTCAGGATTTTTGATTTTATGAAATGTTCATTTGGATCAGTAATTTTATCCATCGTCTAAAAATACGAAATATAAAATAAAACTTTTAAATACTTAATTGTAAAAAAAAAATATTATATTTACGATTCGCTGAAAAACTAAAAGTTATACTATTATTTAGGTACAACATAAAACCTAATAGATTAAAATTAACGATCGTGTTTATTATTTTTCCAATTTTAAGCAGTGACCTAAATACTAGTTTCCCTCTCATTGATCCTATATTTAATGTTATAACACATTTCACAATTGTTTGT